CCCCAAAACCCCAAAACCCCTCGAATCTAAATGGATACTATTTTGAATCATTGAAATTTTCTATTATAATAAAATAGTTATTAATAATCGATATATGGAATCAAAGAAGGCTTAGCCCCATAGATTTTTAAACTAGTATGATCAACTTCTAACACTCATCAAATCCTAGAAAATAAAAGCAATAGAATTTGAAGTTAAAAGGGCTTTTAATAACGATAATTTTCTCAGAAAATAATACCTTTACAATGATTTATTAGAGATTATAATTAAAATGGTCAAAATTGTTGGAATGGAAGATATGAAGAATCTTTTAATGATAAATTCAGATATCTTTGAGCAACCTATAGAAGATTAGTAAATAGATGAAAGTTATGATTTAGATGAGACATCAATATTTAGAATATAGGTGGATTGTGATGAGCCATAATTCTAATTTGAAATAGATAATGATATAGATTTGAATGCATTTTTAGTGACCATAAATTCCTCAAATTAAGTGATTAATGATACTTATAATAGTTTGGGTGGTTTTAGTTATAATGATCTATAATTAGAACCCAATCCAGATAGAATCTTTATGCCTATTATTTATGGGAAAGACGGGTGAATATATTAAGGTGAATATGATGTTGTTACTAAATAAATAGATGGAAGGTGTAGATAAATTTGTGAGGACTAGTATCTTATTGATGGTTTATGGGAAAATAATAAATCAAATGGACATGGGTAGGTAGTTTGGAATAATGGTAACTATTATATTGGTGAGTGGAAAGACGATTAAAGTCATGGAATAGGTTAATTTTACAATGAAGAGGAGAACAAATTCTATAAAGGCGAATAAGAATTTGATTAATATAATGGATTAGGTAAAATGATTTATAATGATGGTTCAATTTATTATGGTCAGTGGGAATCAAACTAAAGATCTCGTTTCGGAGTATTTATTTTCCCTGAAGGTGATTCAGAGGAAAGATGAAAAAAGAAATGGAATTTAAATATATATTTCTGCAGATGAATATGTTGATATAAGGGTATATGAGGAGGATAACGAAATTATTTGATTTATTTTTGATTGTTAATCTAAAATGATATATAGCTTTCTATAATTTTTTATTTGATACAGTTTTGATTAATGACTTAATTGATTAACGGGGTTTTGGGGTTTTGGGG